ACCTACTCAAACTCGTTTCACCCCCGGAATGGAGAAGGATAAGCTCGACTACCACTCTATCCTACAACCCTAATGCTCGACCTCCAGACCTTCCTATCAAGGGCCATGTCCTCGGAAATCTGCAATCGTGCCATGTCCTGCCTGATCACCTCTCCCCAATACTTCTTAGGCCGACCTCTACCTCTTCTCGTACCCACTAAAGCCAACAGCTCACACCTCCTCACCGGAGCATCCAAGCTTCGCCTCCGCACATGCCCGAACCATCTGAGCCTTGCTTCCAGCATCTTGTCATCCATAGAGGCCACACCCACCTTCTACCGAATATCTTCATTCCTAATCTTATCTATCCTAGTGTGCCCGCACATCCACATCAACATCCTCATCTCAGCTACCTTCATCTTCTGGATATGAAGTTCTTAACTGGCCAACACTCTGCCCTATACAACATGACCGGTTTAACCACCGATCTATAAAACTTACCTTTGAGTATAGGTGGCACTTTCTGGTCACATAAGACTCCAGATGCTAGCCTCCATTTCATCCACCCCACTCCAATGCGGTGAGTGACATCCTCGTCGATCTCTCTATCCCCTTGTATAATCGACCCAAGGTACTTGAAACTACCTCTCTTGGGGATGACCTGTGATCCAAGCCTCACATCCATGCCTACTTCCCTCGACTCGGTGCTGAACTTGCACTCCAGGTACTCCGTCTTAGTCTTGCTCAATCTTAAACCCTTAGACTCGAGAGCCTGTGTTCAAAACCTCCAACCTCTCGTTAACATCGTCCCGCGCCTCATCAATCAGGACTATATCATCAACGAATAACATGCACCATGGCACTTCCCCTTGAATATGGTGTGTTAGTGCATCCATTACTAAGGCAAATAAGAACGGGCTAAGCACAGATCCTTGGTGTAACCCCATAACAACCGGGAAATGCTCCGAGTCGCCTCCCACAGTCCTTACCCTAGTCATAGCTCCATCATACATGTCCTTGATTGCTCTAACATAAGCTACTGGCACACCTTTTACCTCCATACATCTCCATAGCACCTCCCTAGGGACCTTGTCATACGCTTTCTTCAAGTCAATAAGCACCATGTACAGATCTTTCTTCCGATCCTTGTACTTGTAACACCCCGTACATTCGAACTAGGTATGGATATGTTAAATGGGTATTAATTTGATATTTTAGACATAAGAAGTCCTAGCGGGATGATTGTGGGTGAAAATAGTTGTTTCAAAATCAAGATGGAAAGTGAGGTGCATAAGATTTGACAAAATCGACTAAGTTTGCAGAAGGTCTGTATTCCATCAGTGTTTAGTGAAAATGTGTAAGGAATTTGAGAAAAGTTAAAGCATGAAAGTTTATTGAAATAGCTTTCCAACGATATATTATGGAGCTCGAACGGATCTCTGTGCAAAAGGTTATGTGCGTTTTTCGGAACAGTATGCGTATGCGCGAACACTCGCGCGAACAAGCCTTCAAGCGCGCGAACTCGCACGTGGGAGGCAGTGTTACTGCCGTTGAGCGCGAACTCTCGCGCGAACAGGCCTCCAGGTGCGCGAACTCGCGCGTGGGGGTCGTTTTAAAGCTATATTTCGTCCCCCACAGCCCCAAAACATAAAAACTTGCTCTAGAACGGGGAACTCTAAAAACCTAACTCCTTAAGGGTCCTTCCACCACCCAAGGTAAGTTCTAATGGTGATTCTAAGTTAATTTCAATTTCCCAACATCTTATTAACATGGGTAAACCCTCCATATCATTAGATATTCGATTGGGACATCGTTGTTGAGAGAAGGAACCCTAGAACTCGAATTCAAGGAGATTGAACGTCAAAAAGGTAATATCTTCACCCTCTAATTGATTCTAGCATTGGTTTGATGATTATAAACCCTAGTGCATGAGATATGAGTTGATGGATTTGATAGAAAAGCATGAACGATTATAGGGTTAGGGTGTTGAGTGTTGATTATTGGTTAAGAGTGTTGTTTACCTTCTGGGTGATGAAGAATAATGTTGGTTATAACCATTTCAGACTTTAGAATTTATCTAGGATCAAGAGAATGGCTTGTTGGGTGTAGAAACACCATTAATAAGGACCATGAAGCTTTATGTCACCAAGTGTTTGAGAAAATGTTTAAGTGACTAAAACATGAGAATTTATGCTAATATGGAATCCCTTTAACTTGTATTGATATAGATTAAAGTTGAAAGGGTTGGCGAAGGTTGTATTACACTCAAGAGCAGGAAGTTAAGGTATGTGAGGCTAACTTTCTATGTTTGGGAATTTTAATTCTCCCTACACTACGTTTCTTTTACGACGTTACCAATTGCCTCAGAAATATAGTTAAGCCTAGTTTCCTTGAATAGTTGTAGAACTTCTATTCTTTAGCTTCATAACTCGCCCATGACTTTCATTCTGAACGTTGTGAGCTCAGTGCGTATTCAATATAGACTTGGGTTTGATGCCCCCGAGTCTTAGTATAGATTACTCAGTATGCCATAAACAGTTGAAGTTTCAGTGTTCATAATCAGTTCAAGAATACATGTCTCAGTCTAGTCCTATTCAGTATTCCAGTATTATGTAACTCAATGTGATCCAGTATTCCAGTATCATGTAACTCAGTGTGATTCAGTATTTCACTATCATGTTTGCAGTATGATTCTCAGTTCCTGAATTTAAATCCCTGAATGTTGAACACCTATATTTGGGCCTGAGGCCGCAGCTAATGCTTTATGCATCTTTGGGCCTGAGGCCGCAGTTTATGCTTTATGCATTTTGGACCTGAGGTCGCAGTTATGTACACGTATACTTGGGCCCGAGGCCGCAGCTTGTGCACATATATATATTGGGCCTGAGGCTGCAGTTTAATATTCAGATAAACAGGTTGTTCATCATTTAGAAGAGGGAGTATTCATATCCTTACTTCCTTTATTCAGTTCAGTTATTAGTTATGAGTTATCTTTTCAGTTATCTGTTTAGTTGCCAGTTCTCACTTTAGTTTCAGTTTCAATACTTATCATTTCAGTTATCAGCTTAGTTTCAGTTTCAGCATTTATAATTCTTTCTTTCAGTTGCTTTACATACCAGTACAATTCAAATGTACTGACGTCCCTTTTTGCCCGGGGCCTGCATCTCACAATGCAGGTAATGATTAATAGGTTGATGATTCAGAGCGCTAGGATTCTCGTACCAGCTAATTTGGTAATCCCCAATTCTTTCGGGGCATTATCATTACCTTACAGTTTTCAGTACTTGAAAGCAGTAAGTATTTTCAGTATATTATTAGAGGCTTCATAGACTAGAGTAACAGTTAGACAGAGTCACAGACTTTTCATATTAAGCCATGTTGGCTACAAATATGTTTCAGAATTGTATTAGTATTTCCGCACTTTGATTTATCATCCATAATTTTCAGTATATCAGCATGTGTTAGTTTATTTTCCGCATTCAGTATGTTATGGTACCACATGTTGATTCAGCCAGCCAGTTGGTTCGCTCGGTCACATGTAGTCAGGCACCGAGTGCCGTGTTACGTCCAGGCCCAAGTTCGGGGCATCACAGTACTGTTCCACCAACCTCCTAATAAGGTGGATAGCTTCCGTGGTCGAGCGACCCGGCATGAACCCGAACTAGTTGTCAGATATAGACACTATCTTCCTCACCCTCGCCTCCACCACCCTCTCCCAAACTTTCATGGTATGACTTAGTAACTTGATACCCCTATAGTTGTTACAACACTGAATATCACCTTTGTTCTTGTACAACGGAACCATTGTACTCCACTTCCACTCATCTGGCATCCTCTTCATCCTGAAAATAACACTAAACAACCCAGTCAGCCACTCCAAGCCTGCTCTACCCACACACTTCCAGAACTCAACCGGAATTTCATCTGGCCCAGTCGCTCTTCCCCGACTCATCATACGCATAGCCCGCATGACCTCCTCCAACTTAATACGCCTACAATACCCAAAGTCTCGGAGACTCTCCGAATGTCCCAGATCCCCTAGCACTAAACCTCGGTCCCCTTCCTCATTTAGAAGAACCTGAAAGTACATCTGCCATCTCTACTTAATTTGGGACTCCCCCATCAAGACTCTACCGTCCTCGTCTTTGATGCACCTCACTTGATCCAGATCCCGAGCCTCCTGTCCCTCACTTTAGCCAGCAGAAACAACTTCTTATCCCCGCCTTTTTCCCCCAATTCCTCGTACAGTCGGCTAAACGCTGTATTCTTAGCCTCCGTGACCGCCAGCTTAGCCTCCTTTCTTGCTACCTTGTACCTCTCTCTATTCGCTCTCTTCTCCTCCTCGCATGTGCTCCCTACCAACTTCATATACGCTTCCTTTTTCGCCTCCACTTTGCTTTGGACTATGTCATTCCACCACAAGTGGCCTTGGTGCCTGGCAGAGTGACCCTTCGATATCCCCAGCACCTCTCTCGCCGCCTCCCTAACACAGTGCGCCGTCATAGCCCATATAGCGGTGGCGTCCTTGCTACTCCTCCAAGCTCCCATAGCTAATAACCTCCCCTCTAACTCTTGGGATTTATCCTTAGTCAAGGCTCCCCACCTAATCCTCGGTTGACCACGAGCATACCTCTTCTTCCTCATTGTCATAATATCGACGTCCATTACCAAGAGCTTATGCTGGGTCGCGAGGGTCTCACCGGGATAACCTTGCAATCCTTGCATAACCCTCTATCACACCTTCTGAGGAGGAGGTAATCAATCTGAGTTTTCACAACCGAACTTCGGAAAGATACAAGATGCTCCTCCCTCTTCGGAAAACTCGAGTTCGCAATCACCAGCTCGAAAGCCTTAGTGAAATCCAACAGCGAAGAACCTCATCCGTTCCTATCCTCAATGCCGAAGCCACCATGCACCTCGCCATACTCACCATCAACCAACCCAATGTGGCCATTGAAATCCCCTCCTATAAATAACTTCTCAGCGGGTGGAATACTACGCATACTCTCGTCCAAACTCTCCTAGAAACACCTTTTAACCTCCTCATCCAAGCCCGCTTGCGGCGCGTAAGCGCTAACAACATTGAGGGTGCACTCACCAATCACCAACTTAATAAACATTAGTCTGTCATGCACCTGCCTAACCTCAACCACCGACTCTCTAAGATCCCTATCCACCAAGATACCCACTCCATTCTTACCCCTCACGACTCCAGAGTACAACAGCTTATACCCGTCCATATTTCTTGCCTTCGACCCTACCCACCTAGTCTCATGGACACAAGCTATATTTACTTTTCGCTTCTGGAGAATCTTCGCCAGCTCAATAGACTTACCCGTCAACGTTCCTATATTCCATGACCTGATCCTCAACCTACAAGCTCCCTTTCTCCCCTTACTATCCTTGCCTCCCGTCCTATCCTCTGGACCCCTCCCCATCCCCCGAACCCCCTGAGGACATGACTTTACTCTACCATCCCAAACCACAGCCACGATGGACTACGGACAAGCACTAGCACAGAATAAGACCCAACTAGAAGGTAACAAGTAACAACTACAAGTGCACTAATACTATGCTTAAAGTAATGCTAACTAGATTGGCAAAATTTAGCTATCACAAAAAGATAAACAGGAAAGCGAGAGGTACCAACCCCCAATGGAAAGAACCTGAAGATATGACTTGATGCACGCCTGAGGTCACGGAATCCGCCGTGCGTCCTTCCAAATCTTACCAGTCTTGCACCTACCAATCAGGAATGCTCCGCTTGCTTGCTCGTATGCCTCGCGCTCGTCTCGACCGACACAGCTAGTTCCCTGCAAAATCGCACACAACCACCACGAAAACAATAAGGGAGAGGGGGGTTGTCAACCTCTCGCCGCTACACCAGCTTAGTTCTATGAAAGCCTGGGCTAGATATCCAACACAGAGGAGGGGAAGGGGGGTGGGAGGGACAGGTGACCTGGACAGACGTGAAAAGAGAGGGGTGTTCGCCGGCCAGAGGTTGCCGACGGGTTACTAGGGTTCGTGCTTTGGGAACTAAAATTTTGGCACGAGAAGGGATGGGGACACGAACAGTAGGGAAAGAGAGAAGGGCTTAGGGGGATAAGAGAGAAGAAAGGAGAGAGGAGGAGAAAGACCAGTCACTGGCCGGAAAACTTCAGCGATGACTGATGCAGGGAAGACGCAAAAACAGAAGATGGGGGAAGGAGAGAGAAGGGGTGGGGAAGAGAGAAGGGAGGGGGAAGGGAAAGGGAGAGATAGAGAGAGAGGGAGAGAGGATAGCTTAACTGTGATTTTCGGCGCCAGCGGTCCCGCCGATGAATTTACAGTAGACGGAGAAGGGGGAGACTAGCGGGGAGAGAGAAAGAGATTAGAGAGAGAGAGAAAGAGCCGTTATAGACCAAATAATTTTCTTGATCAAGGCATAATAAAGTTAAAAGATATTGCTTTCAATTCAACTCACAACACAAGGTTTCCTACACCTAACAACAATAAAAACGAACTACACCCGGTTTAAACAAAACCCTTGGAAAAGAACCGCGGCAAAAAGAAAAACCAAGAGGGAATTGATATACTACCTACAATAGAAAAAAAAATTTGACTTTTTTCTTCGACTTTAAATCCCTCAAGAAACCTGTCGAATGATATCCATCATCGGGAAAAATCGATAATTTTGAATTTTTTATGGTTTTTTAGTGTTTTCTCTATCTCTTCTACTAAAACTAACAAAAACTAAAATTAAAACTAACATACATACAGCATAAATATCCCCCACCCCACACTTTAAGTTGTGGCATGTCTCCATGACACATAATTAAAAAATACAAGGTAAAAAAAACTTCCCTGAATTTTCTTCTTTTCCGAGAACTTATGAACTCCACCCCTAATTCTAAATTCATTCCTCGTTTTCGCTCCTTGAGAATCTTTATGGAGCTCATTAAGCCCAATTCTTCTGAGTATACCTGCAAGATCCGCTCTTTTCTTTCTTTCTTGTCCTCATCTTGAGCGGTGAATTGCTCGTTCATGATCATCCTCAACTTGTTCCTGCATTCTTTCACAAGATCAATCCATACATATTCCTGTAAATGCCCAAAAATAAAATCCACATGATCAAGGTTGGAATAAAAAAACAAGGGCAAAAGGTCAAGTGAATATTCCTATGGTATGTCCAAGAACAGTTGTTTCTCATTCTCTTCTACTACATGTTGTATATGTGGAAAGGTGGATGGGGGTTTGAACTCTTCTTCCGTTGCTTCACACTCAACCACAACCTTATTTTCGATCATCTCAGTTGAATCAGAGTCGTCTTGAATAGTGAAAAGCCCTCTCTGTGGATGCTTATCCTCTTGGGTAGGCTCATTCTCACAAAGTATCTCCTCCATATATTCAACATCATAACGCAATGAGCTTCCTGACAGTGTACTTATTATTTGACTTTGTTGCATTGTTAGGTTGTTCATGGCTTCATCATCTTGTGTAAATATCTCTACTGGCTTATTTATGAACGTATACACAAGCTCTTCCAAACTATCATTCTCCCCTTGAGGTGGTTGTCTCACCTCGCTTTCACTATAATAAGGGCATTCATCCCAACTAGAGTCAAGATCGTGCCCATATGAATTCCCATATCTGTACGAACTAGAAACAGAGTGAGACTGTTCAAAATATGAACCATAGGAAGAATACATACCTGCTTGACTATCAACCCATAGATGATTTCCATCGCATTTAAAACACATAGCAGATCGCTGATAATATTCAGCTGCTAACTCTTCAACCATTTTCTTAGGCTGGTTGTACTCCATCTTCACAGCATTTAGAGTTTAATATCTACAGTATCTTCTCCAACTTTTTTAGGTACTACAAAACAAATCTTGAAAATAAGTTAATTAATAAAGAAAATAAAATAGAAAAGAATAGAGAAAAGAAAAACTAAAACCTAATTCCTGAATTAGCACAACAAACTATTTCAAACACTGTTGATTGCCAATCCCCGGCAACGGTGCCAAAATTTGACGAGCTCTGAACACACACAAAAATATGCACGCTAGTCGAATATAGTAATTTATAATATCGTATCCACATGGATTGGAGTTAAACAGTATTATCGTAGTTTATAGATAGATTGCTATCCAAGATGATCAACAATTGAGAGTTTTATGATTAAGACAAAAATTAATTAATTCTAAGTTATTGACTAATGACAAACAACGCAAGTAGAAGGCAAAGGAAGATATCAATTTGGGGAAATAGGGTTTATAGTATAGGTGCAAGACAATTTTTTGGGATTTAACTCTAGATAATTCACTTTCAATGTTCAAGTGAGTCTCTCGAATTTACTTGGTTATTATTTCAACTGTTTAGTAGAAACTCCTCTCTCGATTAAGTCTCAACCTCACAAGATGAATCAATTTGAGATCGGTGAGATATGCATGAATTCGTAGTGGATTGGTCATTAGGAGAACCTCTCTCGGTTATCCTCCTAACTAAGTTTAATCAACAACTCAACTAGCCTTTTCCGATTATTAAGAAGAATTAATCACTTCAACCAACAAAATATAATGCAAAGATATCACAAGTTATGCCTCTCTCGATTCCACGTACAAGTGAATATTGATGCAATAGTTAAAACATCCAAAACGATTTTAATACATAAAACTAGAATTAATATACACAAACAAGTATCAAGACACCAAATCCATCAAATCCTAAAGAACTACTCCATAGATATAGAACAATTCATCATAACACTGTTTAAATCAAAGAAAAATATAAAACGATCCAAACTCTTGTCTTGAGTGAGGATTGAATGATGAAATTGTTGTGCCTTTTCTTTTCCCCTCCTCCTTAGCTTCCTTAGGTCTAAGATGTGTCAAAAGTTCATAAAATAACATTTTTTCCATGTATTTATACCAAGTAGGGCTAGGCCTAAACAAAAATACCTTTTTCTACGTGAAATAGGACAATTACTCCGTAAAATTTGCACTACCGCGCCGCATGGGGCGACGCTCCATGCGGGGGCGGTAGTGGGGATGTTCAGAGAGCTGATTCTAACAGGCTGCAGGAAATTTCTACAACCGTTGTGCGCCACACTTTGTGGTAGTAGGAATTTGGGAAAATGTAAAACATGAAAGTTGTAGCCCTCTTAAATAGCTTTCTAATAATATATTGAGGAGCCCAAACGGAATTCTGAGCGAATATTTATATGTATTTTACTAGACAATGCGTAGTATGACTGCTCGATTATTTGTTTCGTTCTTAACTATCATCCATTGATCCCCGAACACGATCACAGCTTAATTCCTTGGGCTTTTACTTAGACTTCAAAGCTCCAAATCACTTGAATTCATTCCATAATATCTACATAGCTCGGAATCACTCCTACAAGGTATAAAACACACAATTAGTACAAAATACTAGCAATTAAAGCTCAAACTCAATTGAGTGCAGTAAATTGGAATGTAATAATCGACTAAAACATGAGATTATAGCCTATCATCAGATATGCGTGTTGCTAGTAGGAGAACTACTTGAAACCATACGGTGAGATAAGGTAGGATGAAACGCAAGCTATTTCGGAAAAAATGATTTTCAAAACTAAATATAAGGCTCAGACGGTGATATAAGAAAATATTGTGATTGAAATTGTGAAATGTGAATACAAGGCGGTACCTCGGTTGTGATTTTCATTGTACATTCATATTGGAACAACTTGTTGATTTGAACGGTCATTGTTCTTCCTTTAATCATTCATCCATATTTTGATTGTGTTTGGTTATTCGTTGTTATCTTGGTGTGGAACGATTGTGATTTCTTGTGTGAGTCATGCATTATACGTGATTTGTTGTGTTACTTTAACACGCCAATCCGTGCCTCCGTTATAACTTGATGAATTGATTGTCAATGTGAATTTAATTGCATGGAGTCACTATATCATATTCTATTGAGTTGTTGGTAACATAATGGTTTAAATAAGAATTATTAACAATCTTTATTATATGGCTCTTGAACTAGAACTCTTTATCTCACTCGGTGCCTTATTATTCTAAACGATTATCGCACTTTCACTATAATTGGGTTCTCACATTATACTCATCACCTTGTCAGATATTTACCTTACTTAAAATTGTTATCATGTTTTTGCTTAACAAATTCTATATTTAATTCGTTAATTTAACTTATGTTTTACTTTCTTTAAAAATGATATTTTTACTCAATTTTATTGATTTCTAAACTGAACGCATCTTATACTCTGTTTCGTACAAATTGTATATTATTTTACTTTACTTGATTTCTAAAATAAACTCATTATTTCATTTGACACCTTACTTTATTCAAGATTGTTATTATGTTTAATGTTGTCTAAATATATCTTTCGTTCATTTAAATTAATAATTATCACAGTTGCAAAGTACATGGTAGCATGTGGGCTTTGACG